CAGGCTGGGCAATGGGATATTCAGGGTGTCAGCTGGTATACTGCCAAGTGGCATAATCTGTTGCCATCCACCTTAGGACTTCTGTTCATTTATCAGTTTCTGAACGTAAATATAATTGTCCAATTTGCGATGCTAGCCAGGTAGCATCGCGCCATAAGAAATTTACTCCCTGCTGATAATACCCCTGGTATTCTCACTCCCTTTCTTCCCTCACCAGTTTGCGTACTTCTTCTTCATCCGTTTCTTCTTGCGAATCATATGGCGGGCCTTGGAGTGGATCACTTTCCTCAGTTTCCTCTTTGTCCTCATCCTTGTCTTCCTCGATGAGGAGAGAACTGACGGGTGGGTCGTAGAAACTCCCTGCAGCCTCTTGCAGTATTGTCGCTTCACTCCCTTGGCTGGGTGCTCAGTCCAGCGACTGGGGGTCCCTCATAGATGGAGGGAGGTTGGATCCCGATGCTGGGTCGACACCTATTTCCTCCTGTCGCTCGCTCCATCTCCACTCACTTGCGATAGAGGTGGACGTTGTTTCTGTAGTCGTTGTGAATAAGCTGCCCAACAACCTGACTTTCAAGGAATCCCCTGAGAGCTCAGGCAGGGATGTGAGCATTCTCAGAGACTTGTAGCCCGTAATGTCTGAGAACAGACTCGTTGCTTCCGAATGCTGAGTCAGCACTGGGGGTGTGAGAGGAGGGGGGATACTTGGGGGTTGGGGGTCTCGGGTGTCATCTGGTTCAGGTGCCATCTGCCCAATGCTTGGGGAATCCGCTGCTTGGAGTACTGGGCTCTCTGAAGAGGAGGGTTGGGGTGCGGTTACCTTGTACGGATGCGAGGACACTGGTGATCTCAGGGCATAGCCCATACCAGTTGCCTTTGTTGATTGCTGCGACCCGGGCCCTTTCAATCTCCTGCTGCTCATTCTGGTGCTGCTCATCATACTGCATGGCCTCCCTCCTTTGCCGCTCTTCTGACTCATGACGTACTGGCTGTGGCTCATCCCACCTCCTTTGCTCCTCCTGTCGAACAGCATCATCGTAGTTGAAAGGGATGGTGAAGTCCCAAGTCGGGAAGTACCAGTGAACTGTTTCTTCCCATACTCGTCGTCACTGTTCTTCGTCACTTGGAGGGGGTCCCCCCACCCTCGAGCTGTTTCAGATGGCAGGACGGAGGCTGTGAGACTGGCGGCTAGGAGTTCGGGGGCTGGGTCAGCGAGCCATCTGAGGGGCATCAAGAGAGTCCCTGGCATGGTCAGCAATCCCAGGGGCTCAGGGGGTGGAATCAGGGGAGGGCAATTGTCAGAAGAAGTCCTCTGGGAGGTCTTCATCCTCATGGTTGGGGGGCAGTCCTGGTATGAATATACTGTGCCCTCCTGGGATACTATTGTCTGTGTTTCTGAGTCAGGGGGAACGTTGTCCTTCCACTTCTTCCTCACCATTCCCCTGATGCGTGCTGCTAGGCCCGGCTTCTGGGGGCTGGTAGATCGTTCATCAGGATTCTGGGATGTCATGTAGAGAGAGGTCAGGGGTTACATTCCATAAGATTTTACGGATACATAAAAATTCATTATAGTGTCTAAGAGCCCACGTGGTGATAGAATGGCATCTCTGGCACAGCTGGATGATCACCAAGAGTCCTATCAGTGTTCTGATGATAGAGGAGAGGAGTTTGAAGAACTCGTAGTCAAAGTTCAGATCGGTAGAGGTTGTGAGGGGCATTCAGTCTCTCAGCACAATTGGGCCTGAGAGAGGAAAGCTAGCAGCTTCGAGCTAATTGTTAGGCCCAGACATCACGTGGACAGATACACATGATAAACAGGTGTTCCTTTGCACTTTGAGGAATCACCTGAGTCCACTTGTTTGTATATCCATGGGTGTGACACAAGGTCAGATGTTGACTCAAGGTAGAATGGTGTGTATAAACTTTAGCTCGAAGCTGGGGTTATCCAGCGAGAGCTGTAGTGCTTAAATACTGTATGGATGTTTCTAATAATATCGCTACCTATTGTGCATGTCTGTGTCCATGGTGCCTGTTGTCCTTGAGCATCGTTACTGTACATAAAAGGGACTTTTGTATGTCATTATCCTTGGCTGTCAAGATGTCCCAATGGGGGAGTTGTTGTGCTGACAAAGCTCTCTCACCATCTTGTGCCCTATGACTAAGCATAAATAGGGGTAAAGATAATGAAAAAAGGGTGAAAAAGGGGAAAATTGTAACAGTCCTTTGTGCTCATTGTCCTTGAGCATTATTACCACACATAAAAGAATGGTTGTGCATTGTCAAGCAACACTGTTGTGTCAAAAGACAATGACTGACTCAGCTGTTTGTGATGATCTAAGCCTTGTCTCATGGTCTTAAGTGCCTGTGTTTTAGCACTCTGACTAAGCATAAATAGAAATTAATCATGAAAGAAAATGGAAAAATTGTAACACTTACAACACACTGCAATGTCATAAATGTATGTAGAGGTTCAAATCAATGCAAAGAAACTGAAGAGATAGCATGAGAAGAGTGATTGAAGGATATGATACTGCTGGAGAGAGCATCATAGAGACTATAAAGACATCTCAAGATTCAGAGTGTTATCCATCTGTCTGAAAGTTGAGGTGGAAAGTGACAATGTTAGTTAAATTCCGATAGCCAGCCCAAAGCTTCAATTATGCTTGATATTGAACATCCATCATTATCTGGACTACAAGTTCTTATAGATCCATTCTGATACATATAATATTTATCAACTAGAATATATTCTCTTTCACAATAATAGACTCATCATTCCACTTTCTCTTGGAGCTCCTACTCAAAATATTTTGCCATTGTCCATCTGATTGAGTAATTCCTATTCAGTCTTTTGACTTTTCTGACAGTGTCTGGATCCTTGGGCAAGTGAAAAGTGACTGAAGATCCACTGTTCTTTCCAATAAATCTCTATGGTCAATCATAAGCATGATAGCAGATCATCTCCATATGTTTACATAGTACTCTGAATGTTCTGTCTCACAACCTGATGTTAGAGACAATCAACAGAAGGCATCCATATCACAATTCTGAGTGCCATGACAGAGGAAATTCTGACATACATACTTCATCACTCATAAAACAATCCTCTCACAATCCCTCTTCACTTCTCTCCTATGTTTCCAGGAGAGAAAAACTTTATCCTTTTAATGTGGAGACTATTTTTGTCTCTCCTCTCAGCTGAATCCTCTCATTGGCAATCATTGGATGTCATAGCTCCCTCTCTAATCTGGGAATATTTTGCCAAAGTCTCTTCAGCTTGCTCACCCCCAATCTGATCACTGCATGGAATTCTTCTATATAATTGTGACCACATTGCAGTCATTAAAAACCTCAAGTCAACAGTCATCAGTCAGTCTATTGAAGTCAATGAGGTTAATCAAGGATCTGTTCACTTGCTCCTACTGTGCCATCTGGAAGTACATGGCTGATTCTCATCCTGGCTCAGTGGCATCACTGCACCGAACCTCAGGCACTGTTAATTGGAGAGATCCCATCATCTAGTGATATCCTCAACTTTCTCCATCAATCAGGATGTTGCTTGATGAGTTTTGACTTTTATGAGATAGGTCTCTGAAAGAATTTTTTGTTGTATTTGTTTGGAATACAAACACTCAAGTCCCTATCATACTGCACCAAGTTTGACATGTAGTTATACAGGATGATGACTTTACCATCCTCAATATTACTCAGACTATGTGCATTGTCTCTTCAGCACAATACACACACTGTGCTATTTGCTATCAGCTGGCTTATATTATGCCACTCCTATCCTTGATATCATCAAGTCAAGGCCTGTGGATAGTATGTTGGATAGCATCAGGATCAGGCCTGTTGAGGTGAATATTTGATGGACAAGACCAAAATGCATCCATCTGCACTTAATGCTTCTCTCTGCATTAAGCTTGACATCATGGAACTCAGTTCCAAGTTTCAAGTTGCTTTGGAATAGAGAGTCTTAATCAGAGATTTTCTGGACAGTATTAGGCCACTGGAGTCAAATGAATACACTTTTGAGCTGTGATTGATCCTTCTCCTTTCTTTGCATATTTTTGCTACACCTTGCTTCAAATTTTATAAAATTACAATTTCTGACTGTATATGAGCTTTGTTGATGGAGCATGTCTTCCATAGTTGTCTTTGATGATTTCAGAGAGCCAAAGTTCCCTTTGTTCTCACTTACATGATGAAACAGAGAGTGTATTCTATGTAAGTGACACAGCAACTGTATCTGATATATGACAACCATGCCAAGAAAAGACAGACAAACTGATCAGGATAAAATACTCAGTA